ACACGTACGACACGACCACGCGTGAACTCAACTCGGTATTGGTCATGAGGTTTGGTCTTAGGACCTTCCTCATCAAGAAATCCCAGCAAAAGGTGGAAATAAGTAGAGAAATGTGTGTTGAGCCACTTGACCAATAAGAATTCTGTTCACACTGCATCTACTGCTCAACTCACGCCAAAGATTTTTGTTATTTGAGAAAATTATGACTAAAAAAACAGAAAGGAAGGCGAAGATGAAAATGAGGAAGACTGCAGAATAGAGAACTTGTGTATTTACCCACTCACTCACGATGACCAGCTGAGGGCCCACGGTGTCCCAGGCTGCGCTCATAGCTGAGGGCAAAGGTGACACTGCCCTTGAACTGACGCTCTGTTGGGGAAGCAGAGACAAAGGATAAGCCATCTGAGCTCCGTGAAGCGCACAGAGCAGGGAGCAGGTGGACAGCCCTCACTTCGCACCTGCCCAGAAATCACATCCTCGGGGACGGGGTGCGCTCCAGTTAACATCTCGTGTCGTGGCCAGAGCCCAGCCTCGCCTCTCAGGGCCTTCTTCTCCATGAGGGCGAGAAACCGGCTTGCAAGATGCCTGTGACTGCACCACTGTTAGCAGGAAAGTGCCTCGCTGTAAAGCCAGGCTCCATAACAGGCCACATCGGGCAGCTCTGACGCGAAAGCATCCTCGCCTCGGTGACCTGCAACAGGGGCAGAGGCGGAAGGCGGACCCAGCCAGGCGGATGCATCTCCCTTAGGGCTCTGGCCCCCTTTTCAGATGGGTCAGAGTGGCTCTGAAGGTCCGCTGAGGCTTTGGGGAGGGGCAGGGCCAGAGGACAAAGGCCATCCTGCTAAGGGGACCCCTTCCCAGCCAACACTGCCCTGACCGCTTCCCACGCCTGGGGCAGCTGGCAGCCCCAGATAAGCCTGAACAAAGCTCCTCATCTCCGAACACGAACCCAGTTTGGAAATTAAAACACAAACGTTTACTTCGTGTTGCCTTTATCCCTCTACTTAAAAAGTCATTTGAAGAGTAACGCGAGCCATTCTGGAGCGAACTGGAAATGCAGCGACAGTGTGGACTGTTTCATGTGCTCTTGTTTATCCCGGTGATAAAATACCTTCTCATGATGCTGAAAGTCATGTTGAAATTAGGTCATTTTAAAAGAATTTATTAAAAGGTATTGAAAACGCAGAGCCATGGAGTAAGTAAAAGATTCCTTGACTGAGAGATTTATAATGGATTTACTTAATTCTCCTAATGGGCCTTTGTGACCATGTGATTGAACAGGTGGTTCTGTCCGTCTCCTGGCTGGGCTTGCGCTGTCCCACACCCTCCGCGTCCAACTGCGCTGGAGAAACCGGAATCCTGGGCTGAGCTGGAGCCACCAGGTTCTCTATCTCATGCTTATTTCTCGAGACGAAGATTCCTCACGAGGCCTCTGCTTCAGTGATTTTACAGACCAGAATCCAAGGCAAAACAGTGCTTAAGTGACTTCCCCTTATTTCCATAACGTTGTGCACTTGTCGCTTTGCTGGCACGCAGACGGGCACAGGTGCCAACAGCTCTGGTCCCCATTCTAGAATCCTGCACGCGAATTCTTCATCAGGCACCTGCCTCCACGAAGACCATGCGCGTCCCTCCTGGTGACATAAGTTGGTCTTATACTGAGTTCTCTGTTCCTAATTTCCATCTTCCCTGTATTAGAAAATGTTCGGGGTTTTCTCCCAACTTGTTGGCCGGAAATGGGGGCCCCTGGGGAAGCGCAGTTCACGAGCAGGACTGGAGGGAGGCCGGGTCCCAGGTTCACTGATCGCCAGCCACCTGGGCCGCCCGCTGCCACCTCACCTTCACTCCCTCCTCCAGAGTCTCCACAATATTTATTTCACGGGGCTACTTTTCATGGCGACAAACCATTATCCCACAGTTGAAAGCCCGACCTCCAATTATGAAAACTGCCAAAGGGACCACGAAGAGGAGACCATCACGCTCTCCCCTCTGCGTGAAAACGTCCGGCGCCGGATCCTTCCGCGCTCTCACGGGCGCATGCGGGGACCGCCCCGGGGCGAGGGCGCAGGGCGCCTGCGCACTGGCCACACTCGGACCGCGCGCCGCTGCCGCCGCCGCCGCTACCGCCCAGGCCCGGCCGTGCTTTCTCTCTCCAATTGAAAAGCGGCGCCAGGTTTTCCCGTCAGCCGCTGCCACGTCTCCAAATGGCTTTTCAGTGTCAGGCCTATCAGGAAATTAACTCATCACGCAGTGACAGCTGCTAATTTTTCCCCCTTACATGTCAGATGGATCGCCCGCTGAAGCTAATAATGAATCACCAAACCCTGATTAGAAGGTGCTTCCGAAACGTATAACTGCCATCTGAGCGAACTTTTTTCTTCATGTAAAATGATATCGCCCTAGAGGAGCAGAAAACGGATTGTATTCTTCAGCAAGATGGAATAGGAGGCGGTTGCTTACGTGCGCTGGGCGCTCTCTTAAATGATGGGCTAATCTTAAACAGTAAAAGGAGTGAGAACTTAACAGCTCTTTTTGTAGTTTGCTCAATGAAGGGCCTTTCTTCTTTCCTAATTTTCTTCCTAGAACCTACTCTGGGTTAGGAGTCTAAGCTGGTACTTCAGTTCCTTCCTTATGCCATTGTTTCATGTTCGGGATAACAAAAGATTTGATAGAACCGAGAGATACAAATTCTGCCCATTGGTCACAGGATTTCCTAGACGCGGTGCTACTAGGCAGCGGGGCCCTTGCTGCTCAGCGGGGTGGTGGGTCCGAGCGGCGCAGGTGGGCGTGCCCAGAGCCAGGCCTGGACCTCCGCGGGGTCTTCTGCATGACCTGTTAGGTGACTGAGCAAAGAACTCCGGGCTGAGGCTCCTCCGGGCTGTCTTCTAGGGCTTGGGGTCCACGTGTCTGGGTTGAGTTGATAAATGAATGGAACTTTCAGTGCTACGCTGACAGCATCTTATCACATTTACCGGGTTCTTCAAAGCAAATCAGGGAGCAAGAGGAGTGTGCTTTGCCTCTCAGGTGATGTGGGTCTGTCTGCTTGGGCGTTGTGTGGGGTAGGACTTGATTTGGAGAAGCCTCCCCCACTCGGCTCCTACTGTTCAGTGAGGCCAGAGGCATCCGGAAGGATGCCTGTCTGAGCCACGCACTTCCCTTGTGACCTTATGCGGCTAGAGCTTTCTTCGTACGGAGACGGCGCTGCGGCGACTCTCCACCATGCACGCGGCATTGTCCACGTCCGTAGGCTGATTCATCCGGGCAGGGAGTCCCGGCTTCCTCGCCACGGGTCCTGGAGGCGCAATCGTTTAATTGGCTGTAGTTTAATAAAAAGGTGTTCCTTTTGGATTACAGTCTCCAAGTGAATATTTCTGTTGCTTTGCTTTTTTACTTCTTTAAGGTTCTACTGTCTTCTCCAGCCCAACCTCCAGGAAGGCTAAGGCTCGCCGTGTGTCCCTTGCAGACGATTGAGCTGCGGGGAGAGCGCCCGCATCGCCCTCGGCTGCGCCTCATCATTCCGAGGCCCACAGTTGTGTATGTGCTGCTTCAATCCCCTCACATTCCAGGAGCTGTGTAGGGAGAGAGAAACGGGAGCCCACGTTAACCCGGCTCTACAGGTAATTACAGGACACACGAGCTTAGTGACTCCTCTGCAGTCCTTCGGAGCCTTGAAACACCTTCGGTCCAGTTTTCCTTTGCAAAGGCCTGCTCCTTTCACAGCGCATACAACGTGATTGCTGGTTTGACACTGCAGGCTACACTGGTTTCATGAAGGATTAAATGCCACCCGAGACATATTTACCCTAAATAAATCACAAACGGTAAACTGCAGCATGTCAGTGTCAACACCCAGGACTGCGGCAGAAAGGTTAGCCGTACAGCACTCAGCGCGGCTAGGGATTAGCGTCCAAGCCAAGGGCCGCAGGCTACAGCTAAGGGAGGAATGATCAAGAAGAAATATTCTCACTGAAAAACATACGCGCCCCCCCCCCCTTTTTTTTAAACGTGTATGAGAAGCTTGGCGAGGGGCATCATTTTGTAAAGGTCACCTTCATTCCGACAGCACGCGGGAGTTGCTGCTGTCACTGTTTGCCTAAGACGGTGTTGAACAGCAGCGGAACTGCCCGGCCGTTTTTAAGCATCTGGAGCAAGTCGAACCCAGCTAGTTCTGAATCACGGTGTCAAACCTGAAATTTTCCCTTTTATTTTTTTGGAGGGGCAGCTGTATCAAGGGAGGTGCCCTCGGATGGGCGGGACTCAGGGCTCTGAGGACGAGGTCAGGGGAGGGGTAGCCGGCTGAGCAACCCAGCCAGGCTCGTTTCCAAGCTCACCTCTCAGGGAAGGTGTAAACGGGACTTTCATTTAGACCAAAACGGTGCCATTTTCTCTTTCTTCTCTCCCTTCTGATCGTCTCAAGTTTTAGATACTAAGCATGACAGACTACGTTACTGTCACCAGAATCTAACTGGGCCACGTGCCAAACATTGAGAAAACGGCACTGGGCTGCAGAGATGGCCGGCGGAACCCAGCACACTCGACGTGGGCAGATGGGGAAGGGAAATGAGTGTCAGACGCAGGCCAGTTCTCTTCAGTTTTTACAGCTGCCCATTGATGGGTTGGCTGCTGGAAAGAAAATGTCATCATTATCTTTTAATGCTATAATTTTTATTTCAAAGAAAAGAGAAACAGAACAGAAACAACCTTTGCATTTGGGGGAGGGGATGATTTTACAATTTTGGAAAAGGAAAAGGAGCAGTCGTATCAAGACACGAGTCACCCGGCTATGAACTCGCGTCCACAGTTGCGATGATCCCACAGTGAAGCACAGACAGTCCTGCCGGGGCCGAGGCTGCGGGGCACGGCTCTCTACCACTAATGTTTGATGTCAGCTCTTTCACGTGGACAGAAACCACAGAGAAATCCTGCGAATATGATATCGACACTAAGAAACATTTGCTATAAAAGCAAAATATTGATACAAACAATATTTTCCAGAGTGCACATTTCATATAGACTTTATTGTATGAAACTAAGTCAAAATTAGAAGCATTGGGTTTTCTTAACCAAGGTTTATTTTAACTGAATATAAACGCCAAGGCTTTTCTTAACCGTAGGCTTAAGAAGGAATCTTTTAAGCAGAAGCAACCAGGGCGATGACCACACCTACGATGCCTGAAGGGAGGAAATCCATACATGAAATGAACAGGCTGCCTTTGGTTTGGGGACGCTGCGATCCTAAAATTTCCAGAAAAATGAAGAGGAGCCGACCGCTTCGACATGGTAATACGTGTAGCTGCAATTTTTAACCAAACGTGTAATAAAATGTTAAAACAGCGACATGCTGGACTGCAAGGGCAGCTGTGTCTCAAGCCATGAGACACACTGTTGTCACTCTTCTACTGCTGGGGCACAGTCCTTCCACAACTGAAACGGGAAAACATTTGTGGGGGGAACGAAAGAGAAAACAACTTGGCTTCTCGTCAGCACAGCGGACAGAACAGAGGGAAGAGCATCCAGAGAAGAACCAAACAGTAGACAGACCTGCCTCCGGCGGCCCCGCCCCACACGCGCCGGGCTCCCGCCCTGCGCGTCCACGTGCCCCGTGCGCGCGGTCGGCAGGGGCGTCACCCGGCCCAGAGCCTGTGTGCGCTCCCGGGCGGCAGCCGTCACTGTCGCGAAGGCTTTGCAAACGGAGCGCAGGGAGCACGCGTCTTGGGTGCTGGTCGCTCCGCGTCCGCCCGGTGCCGGGGGTGGGGCAAGGCTCCGGGCTCAGGCCTCGTGGAGCTCGCTGCTCTCTCTATGGCTCTGGATTACCGCGGCCGCCGGGGAGCCCTCCTGGGTGTATATGACCATGCTCGTCAGCTGCTCTGTTTCGCCGGGGACCACGGCCTCGGCGCTGAGTGCGGCCCCGGCCTGCAGGATCTCCTGAGAGCCGGCCGTCTCTATCACGGTGTGCGAGTACACGCCCGTCTCGTCCTGCGCCCCCGGGGGCAGTTCTGTCACGATGTAATGAGTCGCCCCCTCGGGAAAGCCGCCGCCGGACTCCTGGACCATGGCCTGGACCAGCTCCTCGGTCACGATTATCTGCGAGATCTCGCCATCCGACTCGGCCAGGTCCATGCGCTGGCCGTGGGCCTGGGCTTCCTGCATGATGATCTGGGAGCCTTCCCGGGCCAGCATATGCACGGTGCCCTCCTCGTTCACGATGACCTGCGTGACACCGTCCTTCATGAGCTGGCCGGCCGCGGCCGGGTCGCAGACTGTGAACTGCAGCACGCCCTGCACCACCTTCCTGAAGGCCAGCTGGGCGCGCTCCTGCGACGCGATCAGGGCCGCGGGCCGGACCGCGCGGCTCAGCGCCCCCGCGGGCTCCAGGGCGGTGCCACCGTCCTGCACGTCGTGGCACACGTGGATCTCGTGGGCCTCGGCCGGGGTTGCGGCGGGGTCCGCCGCCTGCCCTGGCAGCGGGACCAGCACGTCTCTGGGGCCGGCCCTGCCCTTCTCCTCGGCCGCGGCCCGGCCCTCCGCCCCTCCCAGCTCCGTGACCGCGCACAGCAGGGCGTCCAAGGCCGAGGCCGTGTCCGGCGGGGGGATGCCGGCCTCGGCCAGGTCTAGAATCCCCTGCTTGGTCACCTGCTGAATTGCAGCCCCGCTGGGGCTGAGGGGTGCGTCCATGCCATGGCCTTCCATCGGGGCCCCCACGACCACCACCTGCGTGGCTCCGTCTGCCAGCTGCTCCGGCACCCCAGGCCCGGGCGCCCCGCCGCCCACGGGCGCCCCGCTCTGCCCCGCAGCGATGACCTGCCCGTCCTCCGTGATGTGCACCACCCGGGCCACCTGGCCGGCCAGTGCCAGCGTCTGCAGCGTGGCCGCGGCCGTCTCCTCCACGGAGGCGTCCAGGGCGAAGTCCCCGTCGTAGCCCTGGATGATGATGACCTGCTGCACCGGCTCCGGCGGCGCCGCCGGCCTCCTGCTGCCCTGCAGGGGCCTGTCCTTGACCGGAGACTCCTCCGCCAGCGCGGCCGCCGTGAAGGGGCTGTCCGTCTCCACGAACGTGGCCCCCTGGCCCTTCAGACGGCATTCGTAGGACTTGGACACAATGCCTAGGGGAGACAGGGACCAGTTAGAGTCCAGAAAAATGACTTTCAGGCTTAAAAGTAAGACAGCTCTTCCGTAGAAGCTTTAGAACCTCAGCTGCTCAGAGCAGCCGGCTCCCAGCCTCGGGGCCTCGGGCTGGCGCTGGGCGCTCGAAGGAATCTGACACGGGTGCTCCCGGCTAAGAGCGGTCACAGAGGACGTCTGTGCTGTGAGTGGGCGATGCCCACACCTCTGGTCTACTGTCCGGATACAATCTCATCGGCCTCCCTTCGCTTTTCAGCTCCTGGGGAAGGGATACGGTCGAGTCCTCTCAATTACGGTCATTTCTAACAAGATACTCAGTCGGTGGTGGTGAGTGAAGTCCAGTAACAGTCAGTAGCAGTAGCTCCTAACCCAAAGGAAAAATCTTTTTTTTAGCGTCCAAATATTAGCTACAGTACATTTGTTTCTTCAACAAAAAGAATGAAAGCTCTGCATATTAAATTTATAAATAAGCCCTGGATAAACACAGCTCTATGAGTTTCACCTTCTGTGTCGGGCGCTAAGCTGGGGGCAAAGGCGGCTGGCCCGCCAGGCGTGCCCCCCCCCCTTTCCCCGGAGGCCTGTGGGCAGAGCCCCGGGCGCCCAGCCCAGATGCAGGGGCTCTGCCGCCGGGGCTCAGGGGCGGTGGACAGGCCAGAACTGAGTGCGCAGCCGCGTCAGCCACGAGAGCCGATGCCACGCTGTCGCTGTGACGTTTGGCCAAGCGCCTGGCATGCAGCCACCATTCAGCAAAGATGCGTTTGTTGAATGACTTAACTATCGTGTAAGGTGAGAAGCACTACAGCAGAGAATAAACACACTCAGGCTCACAGCCAGCCGGAGGGAAAGGAATATTCAAGCTCTCCCTTGGGGCTGGGAAGGGGAAGAGCCTGGAGACAGAGCAGCCCAGGGCCAAGCAGAGGTGAGTCTGGGGGGCCGGGGGCTTGGGCTGGGCTGGCTTTTAGGGGATTAGATAGCTCGGCCCCCGCCAGGCTCTCCGGGCCTCTTCTGACAGGAGGCACTAAGACATCTGGACCACAGTCTGTGGAGAGAAGACACCTGTTGAATGTTTTTAAGCAGGAAAGTAAAACGAGTGCATCTGTTTTAGAACTGTGACAGAGGGTACAGCATTTATTATCATAAATACGAGCCCCAAATTCCTCTTAGTGAAAACACTGTGACTGTTTCAGAAAATGCAGAGATAAGCCCTTGGGACAAAGGCATATGCAAAATGCAGGGGTCAGGAGAGCCCAGAGGAGGGCAGGACTGGGGAGAGAGCGCCTGCAGGCTGCTGGCCTCAGCCCGATGGTCGGTCCCATCAGACAGCAACTGTCCCTCTCAGTCTGCATCTGAAGTCTGGACATCTGCCCGCCCAGGAAGGCAGAGCAGCCCCGAGAGGCCTGCGGCTGCCGCCACACTGAGAGTTTCAAGCCCATCTAACAGATCCCGGGGCTGCAGGCCTGAGCTGGTCTCCCGTTACAAAAAGGAGGCTCTGGCCGCAGAACCGAGGGTGGAGGAGGAAGGATGCGGGGAGGGTGAGAGGCAGGGGCGGGTGCTGAGGACGGCAGGGTGTGTGCACACCCGGCCCCCAGTGCCACCTGTGACACAGGCGACGCTTGTTTAGTAACTCGACAGGGAAAGTATGAGTGAAAATTGTTGTCTCTGTCTTCATAAAAAAGAGTTTAAACGGAGTTCCTATTTTCTCCCTCAAGTCCTTAATTTTCTATCAGTTTTTTATTACAGCCTCCTTCCCTCCTAAGTAAGAGAATGATCTCTAAATGATCTATAGTATTTCTTTATCTCAATGGCAAACCACTTTTTAAAAATATTCCACTTTAGTCTCCCTCATGTAGGTCCTTTTTTAAAGAAAAGCACACTTTACCCTTACCAAAGGAGAAAAAAGGATTAAGACTTATTAGATTATTATTGCTAACATCCCTTAAACATAAGACAACAATTTTGCTTACTGTGTTGGTGCCAGTCCGTATGAAAGCATTTCTTTCAATACAGAGTCCACTTTAAGCAAAGACCCAGACAAGGCCTGCCTTTCAGCAGGTACAGCATCTCAGGCAGGAACCACAGAAGCTGTTAAATCATATTTACCAAGAGGACACAGCGGGCTCACATCCAGACTGCAGGCAATAGTCCCGGATTGCGAATCATATGTGAAGTTATAAAAATGCAAACTCCTGGCCCATTCTGTGTGTGCTGGGACGTTTCATGTTCTGCGTCCACAGGTTCACAGGTCAGAAGTCTCAGGAAGTCAAGCCACCGCATCCCCCTTAACTCTTGAGGCCAGAGGCAGCCTCCCACTGGGTCGGGGTGAGGGAGCCACGGGGTCTCCCGGGGCCCTGTGCTGCGGGGTCAGTGGGGGCAAGCTTGGGGTGCGTCCTCGGGACTGATTTTCCATACACCATGTACTTTCAGCCTCCGAGGCTCTGATTCCTAGTGAGGAAGTGAAATGTGTAAGTAATCCATTTTTGTAAGCAAAGATTAGGAACGATTAACATTTATTCTTTCTCAGAGAACTCTCTATAGTGCGAATCTTAGAAAGCTCATGGAACCATAGACTCCGTGGTCAGGAAAAGACCTGTGGGTCAATGGGACCGTCCCCAGGAGCAGAAAATCCTGTTTGCTCATTCAGAGAATGCGGAACACTGGGCCCAGCGGACGCTGCTCGGGGATGGGCAGTCAGCGGCAGGTGAACCAGGTCCAGCCGTGCCCTCACCAACCAGGCCAACATAAACCATCTTTTTTTTTTTCTGGCTGCAGCGTGTGGGATCTTAGTTCCCCATCCAGGGATCGAACCCATGCGCCCTGCAGTGGAAGCTTGGAGTCTTAACCACTGGACCACCAGGGAAGTCCCTACCATCACATCTTAAAAGCTGTTCAAACCTTCCTAGAGGACGGTCCCAAATGTCGCCGATTCCAGCTAAATGATCTCCCTAACTATGGCTTTCTCTTGTTTACCCTCCTAGGAAAGGGGGGGACAACGGGGACCACACAAGCAGGCTCCCAGCCAGCTCTGACTGAGGTGTTCAGTGGCAAGCAGCCACCGAGCACCCACTGCGGGGTGCCAGGCGGTCATAGCACAGGGCAGCAGTCCCCACACTGGGAATCCTACCCCAGGGTCTCTGCAGGCTGGCCCAAGGTTATGTGAGCAGATGGAGAGTTTTAGGGAATCAGCCCAGTGTGTCTAAACTCACCTGCCCAGGGATGTGCCTGCCTTAGAGATATCCCCTCCACCTCCCCGTGACCCTCTGCTTTACAAAAGGAAAACACACCCTTCACCATGGGACCCTCAGGAGGATTAGAGCTCAGAAGATAAGCATGAAATCAGGTTAAACCACTCAGACCCTAGAAGAAAAGGGCTGAATCACCTGTGGTCCGTATGCTTTAACCTAATCGTGTGGGCATTTTCTGAACTTTAATCTTCCTGAACTATCTCTCGTCAAAGAGGTCAGAACGGGGCTCAGCGTAGGAGCAGAAGCCCTGCCCGATGGGTGAGGCACCCCACGGGCTCTGAGTTCACCCCTCCACGTAGGCCTGGGTCTCACCTGGTGGGTGTCGCCATCTCTGCTCAAGTTGCCACCTGCTAGGACCCCAAGATCTCCTGTCTACCATACTTGCCAACGTCTTCCTCTGCTAGGCCTGCAACTCCTCCCCTTGCCTCTACGTTTCTCCCGTGGATGGAACACTGCCCGTGCCTTCCTTACACTCTGAACCTGATCCAGTTTGTTTCTGCCCATTCTCTAAATCCAAGGTCATTTTCAGTTTAGAGTTTGGGAGAAAAAAAGAAATATGGATACAAGACATAAATAAGGCATCCTTCAAATCACCCTCCCCCGTCCCCACCTGATTACTGCCCTTACATTAAAAGAGGAGGAACTACTGTAGCTGGGAGAGAACAGATACCCTGCTCTTTGGTATTCTCTGAGGGAAATGCTGCAGGCTTGAGTCCAGGCAATTCCCTTCTTCAGTCTGCAACTGGACGCGAAGCCTCTTGGGTGCAGAATTATCCTCTGGATCCCGTGTGGCACTGATAATTACGCCATTCTGAACTACTTACTGACTGTATCTGAATCCGGAGGTGGGTTAAGCCACGTCCAGACCATTAAGTGAGCTACGTGGGTAAATACTGCTGTCACTGTGGGGTGTGACAAAGCTCATGATCAGCAACATCTTCACCTCGGCTCAGCCCGAGCCCAGTGAGCCCATCGCGGCTCACAAACGTGAGTGCAGGTCTATCTTTGATTCAGCAATTGAATAACTTCGAGAGCTGTCACTACTGCTTTGAAAAATAGCACCTATAAAATGTAACAGCCTCGATCAGATTGAAAAAGATTCACCCACTGAAGACTCTTCCATTTCGCCCATAATGAATTCATGTTGAGCTATGCAGAAGTTCAAGTGTCATTTAAACTAATGTGAATCTCTTCTGTAACTTTACATTCTGACTGGGCTATGACCAAGAATTTACTGGGCACATCAACTTCAATTTTTGAGATCTTTCTAGTAACTATGAACTGTAATGCTCACTGATGCAAATGGCCAGATGGATACAGTATCTGGAACACAGCAAGTTTGTACAGATTTTATCCTTAACCGCTTAGTCACTGTTATTGCTCCAAAACTGCGCAAATCTTTAATGAAGCACGATAATCAACATATTATTTACATTACACTTGACAGCTTTCAAAGACAACGTAGGACTTCAGTATGCTAACAGTAGCTGATCAAATAGGGTGTCTAAATCAGCCTTTTTTGGATCTGTTTCCAATAGGACAATAAGTAGCTTCGTGTAGAAGGTGCAAATGCGGGTGAAATGCAGCCTTGCGCCCGTGTATGAGATCCCAACTCACTGTTTGTTTGCTTTCTTTCGTGAGCACAGAGGTATTTTACTGCCTTCCCATAGCTCAACGCATTGGAAGTTTACAACTCGGTTGAAATGAGAAGAGTTCTTTTCGGGGGGGGGGGCGCGGTT